AATACTTTTTTAAATAGGGCAGCCTGAGTATGGGTGTTATTTATACCGTCTAGGCTGTTCGATGTGGAATACATCGATGTGACGCTGGAACGCGTTTGGCACGCGGAAGTCATTATTGTTAAATTCTCCTGGCTGTTTTAAGACAGTAACGACCGTCTTAAGGTGCTGTACATACCTATTTGTTTCTGATCCATTCGCCACCATCATCTGTGCCTACGCACCCGCGTTGGCCAGGTCTAACTTTGGGATTAACTACTTCTATAAAACAAGTATCCTCTATCAGCGATTGTGCTGAGGGTGAAATTGCTAGAAAAGCCAAAAAATTTTCTTGTTTAATATAGACAACAGAGTGGTGATATGATAATGGCCTCTTGTGTTCCCAGGGAATCGGGCTTTGATCTTTAGTTTGGTGAGTTTTGAATTGGCGCGAACAACCGCTGTTCGAGTTCTTAAGTCAAAAATCAGGCTAGTCTCGAAAGAGTTCAAATGACAGCCACGAAACCAGTTAAAGGTCAAAGCTCCTTCCTATATGCAACCCTAATCAATTTCTGTTGAGTTATCGGCAAATTTGCGGGGATCTCCTACGGGCCTTCCGCATTGTAAGGATATTGGGTTGTTGTCTGACATTTGGGCACTTTTTGGAATTCGTCCCGAGACCAATTTCCGGGGCACCAATTTTAATTGCACATTCAGCAGGCAAGGCCAGGTGTGTGAAATTATCCTTCGCTGCCAGAATGGCCACGTCCTGGAATGCCCTCTCCACGGATGTTGTGATGTCATAATTGCTAGAAAGGTTTAAAAGAAACGTTGAGAGATAGATGCTCGAAATCGGGTTTGAGTCGACAGGGATTTAACTCCGCTTATGAACTTCTTGAAAAAAATTGTCAGATTTTACGGACCTGTTTGAACACTTCCAGTCTGCATGGTTCCTCTTCAAACTGCGTTCAGTTTTACATTACAAATGGGGTACTCAATGGTCCATGCCTATATCCTTTATTATGATTAACTGATTGGAAAAAATAAGTACTTGTTGAACGCAAAAGATGCCGCACGTGAAATATGGCTCAAACTGATATATTACCGGGTATTTAAAGAAGTTGCTTGCTAAATTCTCTTGTATTAGTTAAATATGTTAAGACTGGTT